AATTATATATATATATATATATATATATATATATATAAAAAATAAAAAGAAGTCATTATGCAAATTGAAGTGTGTTCTATACTTTGAAGATATGACAAGGGCAGAATAAGTTAAAATACAAACATTTAATGAGTCCATATTTATATAAATAATTATGGAAAGAATGTACATTGAAATTTTATAGAGTTTAAATTAGGGACCTCCACAGAAAATGCAATATCTAAGGTTTAAAATTAATTGTTGAAAATGAATAATCTTTATTTTAATTTTAAGCTAATAAATTAAATGTAATATTTCCAATAAGCAAAATACTTTGCTGTATTTTCAAAACTAATTTAAATTAATTGTTTTTTTTTTTTTGCTAAAATAGCTGGTTAGCACCCCCACTTTTTAAAGACATTTTCATCACAATGTAATTCCCTTTATTAAAAAGAAAAAAATCCTCCAAAAATATAATGTACTTTTCTGAAACTTTATTTGAGGAATATTAGTTGATTTAAAGTGTAATTTGATTTGAAACAAATATTTCCTTTAAGTTTATAATAGAGTGGAAATACATTTTTTAATCTGACAATCACTAAATTGACTGACCTAATGTTCTTCTACAGAGACTTTATCTGTAGAACATAATTGAAGAATATGAGGTGAGCACATTTTTTATGTAATTTTTATGTAGTCAGTAATCTTAAACATTCAAGAAAATATTCTCTGTAATCTAATGTTTTATTGAATTTTAGGAATCTTGTCTTTAAATTTACTATAGTTATCACTCTTATTTTCTGATAATGTCATGTATGGTCACATGTACATACAAAAATAGGCACGTTTATACACACAGAAAATATCCAAAATTCTTTAAAAATATGTGTTTGATTTGTATTAAGCTTTTCCATTTATGATTAGTATAGTTTTCACTTAATATCATCTAAAAGGCTGAAATTAATATAGAATTTTAGAAGATTTAAAATTTTAATTTTTCTCATTAAAATTTAAAAAAATGAAAACATTTCTTGGGAAAATTCATTATATTCTTTAATATATCTTATTTATAAAAGTAATTAAGAGCTGTTCTAATTAAATGTCATAGTTTTACTGCATATTTTATGAATCAGAGCAGATTTTCGGGCAAATGGTGTTTGACAGAAGCAAATTGATGATTTAAAATCTCCAATTTGTTCTACTTTTAAGTAATATAAATATGAAGAAGCTGGAATTTTGATTACTTGAAATTTTATAGAATTAAGTAAGTGGGTGGGTGGGCGCATGTAACAGAAGTGAGAAAAAATTTTTTTACCAAGAATTTCTAAAAGAAAAAGATTTTAAAAATGATTTAATTCATTTGTGAAAATGAAAAATTTCATTAAATCCTACAATTATTTGATTTTTGCAAGAATTTCCAAAACAATGTGTTTTTTACTGCAAAAAGATGCTAAGATTTTTAATTAGAATTTCTAACATGTGAAGATTAAAATATTTAATAAAACAATCACAAAAATCAGTCTTTTTTTCTTAATAATAAACATTTTGACGATAAAACTTTATTTTTTTTTTTTTAACCAAGTTTGGGTCTTTTTCCATCATGGTTTTTGGAAGTACCTACAATTTCAGTTCTAACAAGAGATATTTAAAGAGAAAATATACGTTACAAAACAGAGAAAGGACAATAGAGTTAATTTATCAAACTTTCGTTAAACTGTTTAAAATTTAAGAACTGGTTTTTACAACATTTGATCAGCTATCAAAATACAGCCCTAGTTAATATTTAATTTCTTAGATCAGGGCGCGTGTTTTTCAATGTGGCCTGACCAATCTCCTGTTAGTGTTGATGGTATTCAATAGTAAAAAAATGAAAATCTATCCCTAAAAATACTGAAAAATATTGCAGATTTTAAAATTACACGATTTTGAATTTAACAAAGTACTTTTATTGTTCTGCCAGTGTTTGCTCATATTTTATATGCAAGTTTTTTTTTTGTTATAAAATAAAACGTTTAAAAAGAATGAGATGCAAATTTTAAGTAATAGTTGAGATGTTTGTCTCACATGTTTTTATTTTACACACATACAATTTTTTTTCCTTCTGAAAAGTTCTTTTTACGCAAAGAAAAGAATATCCAACCAGAAAGGCTTTTTATTGGCAAGCTGAGTGAATTGTTTCCATTAAAGGAAAAACTATTAATACATAAAACAAAAGTTATTTATATTTGGTTTTTATTTCAGACTTTAACCAATTATGAAAATTTACAATGGGAAGAAAAATTACTCGTAGGAATTGTTTTGCGTTGAGGGGGTGTGCTCAATTGAGCGTACTCAAAAAGTAATCTTTTAATCTTAATTTTCAAACATTTTCCACTCTTAAAATTCATCTATATACTATAGAGAGAGAAAGAAAATCTTAAGAGCTTGAAAATATTTTCACAAGGAATAATAAAAAAAACCCAAAAAAACTAATCAAGTTAAACAATTCAAACTCAAAGGAAAGAATTTAGCGAAAGAAACTAGTTATCGGCCTTGAATTACACCCACTTTTGGGGAGCAAAATTACTTTTTACCTACTTTCCGAATATTTAACGAAGAAATTCATTGAATAGTAAATAAAACGAAATCTAAATATGTTACAACAGAAAATTATTAACAATAATTTACGAAGAAAATAGTTTGCCAAAGTTAAATAAATCGTAGCAATTGTTTAGACTGGAAGAAAATGCATTTGTTATGAAAGTTTTAAAAATGAGTATCAATTCCCCCACTCCACGCTAGTTTTTCATTTTTTTTTTTTTTTTTACAGAAATAAAAGCTAGCTGAACGAAATACGCAATGAACCGATTTTGGCAATAAAAATCACGCAAAACTAACCTTTTTTCGAGAAAATATAGATTGAAATATTTCACTAAAAAATGATGTCTAACATTTTTACGTTTTTAGTTAAAAAAAATAAATAAAAAAATGTTCAAATATTATAAAGTGAATTTAGAAAAGCTCTTTTTTTCACAATACGTTTGTAATGAAAAACAAACGAGGTAGACACTTTGGACCATCAAAAATCCGGGAACACTTCAGTCCCTAATGATAATTTTAGGCCACGAAAGTGGCCAGAAAATAAATTATTGCAGAGATCTGAGAGATAACAACACTTCATTTGTTAGTTTAAACTTTAAAAAGAGTCTAAAACAGTAAGATTTTTTTCTATAGTTTTTCTTATTATGATGATGCTATCTACGAGTTATATGTTTTAATTTTTTATTCTCTTCTGTGGTCATCAACGAGTTTATTCGCAATTATACTTTTAAGTGTGAAAACAATGTTGTTAAATAAAACTTCAGTTGAAACTAAAAATTAATTCGTAAAAATAAAATTGTTTTACTGCCTCAGTTGGCTATTATAAAGTCGGCATTAGATGCCAAATTTTGTAATTGATTCTTACCAGTCAACGAGTTATCGTCAATAAGACAGATTTTGAGGACATTGTAATAAAATAATGTAAGGAATATGTCATGTGTATGGGGCAATCTGTTCAGTTAGAGTAGACACTAACTGTTAGTAACTGTAATGAATGTAATATTCCCAGATTCGATTTAATAAATTTGAGTTTTTTTTTTTTAAGGAAAAATGTATTTTAATTTTCTTTTTAAAAGAACACGATATCCATTTTCCGTGCCTTTTTAGCTTTTGAGAAAAACAAAAAAACAAACTAAGTTTGAAAGTGAAAGTGTGTCAATGATGAATGTATAAATTGCTAAACTAGACAAGTTAGTTTAGCTGAATTTATTTATTTATTAATAATTAATTAGCATATGATTAAAAACAAAATGAAAACAATGTGCTTACTAGCTTAGACCGAGAAAGAAATCATAATAGGTAAAATAAAAAAAGAAAAACAAAAAAAAAAAACAATGAATTCACTGCAGATAAGTTATTCATTCCAATATTTCAAGCTGTGTCCGGCCGGTGTTTGGAGACCACAGGAACACAAGTCAGATTTAAAAAACAAAAAAGTTAAATATTTTGCTGTTTATTATTTATTCTCTTCTGGTTTGCCTTGTAAGAAGACAGTTTTCGTTTCAAAATTAAAAAGCTCTGTGTTATTACGTAGAAATCGAAGTTTCACTTCACACATTTCCACTTTTAAAAATCAAATAAAAAAGTTACTCTCCAAACCAAAATCAATGTCATTTTTATAAAGAACAAAGTTACAAAACAGACAAATAAAAAAAAAATACATATTTTTTTAGTTTAATCACATGTCCTTGAAAATTATCTTTATTTTTTTTTGAAGGGGAGGAACATTTTCATTTTTAAATCCAATCGCCTTGGTCCACATACATTCCATGACACTGACAGTAATTATTTTTAAGCAAATAACAATTTTATTGCATTTCGGGCGCTATTTTTGTTTATTTATGATTTCTTTTTATGGAAATAAAAATATACGCTCAGATAGCTAGGTAAAGCAACTTAAAAAGTAATTTATTATTTTTAGTATGCGAAAAAAGAATTATTGGAAATACCTCTGAATCTTCACCAATAAATAGTCTCCACCTGTTATTAACTTCTTAGACATAAAAGTAAAACTCAATGAGATGGAGACGACTTTTGTGAATTCTTTTCATTGAAAAGAAAAGTAAAGAAAGAGATTTTAAAAAGTCGTAAATCGTGATTAGGATTTTTAGCACAAGCCATCATTTCTTTCTTTTAAAGGAAAAAACATAATTGTAAAATAAAAATGTACCAATTGAAACGATTTTTATCCCATGACGCCTACCAGAAAGAGTGGAAATTTAAAAAAAAAAAAAAAATGAAGCTAAAATGATAAATTTATATTAGAAAAATGCTATAAAGTAAGTAAACTATTTTCTCTTGTTCATTTACTAAGTCTTAGTTTTCGAATTATAAGTGAGTTTCAGTAGTATTTTTTAACATTTAAGCAAGAAAAACGGTAAGTAGTTTAATTGATCAGTATGATTAGATATATTAATAAAATAACAGAGGAGCATTCAAACCTTGACTGTTTGGTCACTGGAACATGTAGCAAGCCTTTTGCCGTAAAAGTCATAAGCAACATCGTGAATCAAATCTTCGTGATCAGTTTGGATTGATTTTGGTGCAAACATATCTTGCGGTTATTTTTCTGAGATGAAACACGCGAGAATTTCGTCCCTATAGCTGTAGTTATTATTACTTAAAGTAGTGTCGATCTTAAACTGTTCCAGGTAGGTTCGAAATGTCCTTTTTTTTTAAAAAAAAAAGTTTGTTTAACTATTTTGTTTTAACATAAAACGAAAGATCCGCGGTCCAGCGGTTGGTTTGAGACCGGACCTGAATAGTTATTGAAGAACTTCCGATACTAAACACAAGAGTAATGATAATTGGTTGATAAATCGATCAGCCAATGAAATTGCTCGTTTCATATTGAGTTAGACACATTTCGGCGGAAGTTGAATAGTGCTCGGCGCTAGTCACGAGGAGAAAAGCTACGAAGCAAAAGGTGGAGAGTGACGGCGGAAAAAGGGATGGAGGAGGATGATGATGTCGTTTATCTGGTTGCCCGTCTGTCTTCTACTACCACTGCCTTAATTTCATGTCGGTGCCTCTGGTCTGTGAACTGTTGACTATGTCGGACAGCAATGATTGAACTTTATTGTTATTTAGCTGGCCAGCTAACGGATTTAGTTTAGTTTTAGTTGGCTGGCAGAAGAAATCGCCCTTCTCCTCTTCTGACTCCGTCTCATTATCATTACTGTTGTTATTATAGACTTGTAAAAATCACTTCGTTTATGATGGGGATAAAAGAAGCAAAACAATTGTGAGGACCGCAAATAATATGCTTTTATGTATTACAATCACTATATCAAACCTGCTTATTTCGACGTAAATTGATTTGATAACTACTCAAAACTGTTGAACCTGTCACCGATTGTCTGTTGTGGTAATTTGAGCTTAAATGATTTTTTTTCTGTTGTCACAACCACCACTGTTAAAAAGTGAACACATACGCCATAAATAACACATTTTATTTTGACTTGACTTAAAAAAGACTTTCAGTAATACAGAACATAACACAAAAAACACGCACAAAATAGTAACATTTGCTTTTTGGTGAAACTTTTTTTTTTTTAAATTGATTTCTTTACCTGTTAGTGTTCTAGAGCATGTAAAACTTGCAATTTTAATTTTATGTTTACAAAAATAACAAATTCATCCGTATCTTAGAGTTTTTTCTTTATTTTTTAATCACCAAAAAAAGAAAACGTTTTAAAGGTCTTGACTTAATTAAAGAACTTTAAGTCGATCCTTTTGTTTGTTTATTGGAAATCGAAAAAACTATGCACTAACTAATAAATAATTGAATTGAAACGAAGGAACAACAAATATAAAAGAAAATACATTTTTATTTAATTCAGTTGATCACCTATTTCTTATCCATGAGATATACCTACGATGAATCGTCTGGGGCAGGAATAGAGGTAAGTTACTTTTTTTTTTTTTTTTTTAAACTGCTTGAACCTTTTATTTTTTTTCTTACTGATAGTGAAGTGGAATAATTCGTATCATCGCTTCAGATGTGCTCTAAAAACAAGAAAAAAAACCTGTTTTCATTTGACTTCTAATTAATTCCACTCTGTATTAATTATCGAAAGTAAAATGTGTTTTTGCGCGATCATTGAATTGAAAAATCACTTTTGAAATGTCAGCTAATGTAATTTTCTTTAAAAAATAAATAGGAAAGGTTGATTTGATTGAAAAGTGTTGAGCAAAAATGTTTACATTTTTTAGTTAGATTAATTGAAAAATCAAGCATAAATGCTTTTTTTTATCATTATTTGTTAACTTAGGTTTTGGTGTGTACCTTGGGTTTGAATATTATCCTTTTTATTTTAATCATTTTTTTAAAATGTGCTATTATTATTAAAGAAAAACAGTACGCAGGCATATTTGACTTGCTAGAGCTAAATCGATTCACTCCGATTTGAATACCTTTTTCTTGTCCGTCAACGCCTATATGGCTTTAGGGTCGGATAACTTAAAAAAATATGAATACACAGGATTTAAAAATAAGTCCTAAATATTTTCTTGTTCGGCTACACGTGTTTCTGGTATTTGCTATTATTTAATTCTTACGAATTAGGAAGTGTGGCGCACAAAATAAATGCTCTTAAAACCATTTTTAGATTTTTACCTGGGCACATATGTTTGATTCCCCCCCCCTCTTATACTACCCAGTCACCATTGTACTGTGTTCCTTTAACTGTCTAAAACTTATGAATATACTTTTTTCCTCCCACTCGCTTACTTCTGTTGTGTAAAGAAAGAAATCTACACAAACGATAGTGAATACCCAGTTTTTTTTTCTTTGTAAATTTTAAATATAATTGAAAATAGGTTTTTTTTTTTTTTCTTAAGGTTGACAGTATTTTCTGAATAAAACTATGAAAATTGATTCTTTTGGAAAAAAAAAAAAATCTTATCTAATTTAATTTCTAACATTTGTTTTTTTTTTCTCTCACGTAGACAAAACTCCGAATTACCGAAAAAACCAGAAAAACTATATTATTACTATTGCATGTTGACAATATGTTCGATCCTCCTTTTTCTCTTTTCACTTAATTAAATTTTAGCTTCTTATGATGAAATCATTTTTTTTCTTTTTATTTAAGAAACGATTTTTCATACATACGATAGTGTATTGACTTTTTGTATTATGAAAAATATTGTCAGGAAATTTCGTATAACTGACACTTTATTTTTTATTTTATTTATTTATTTATTTTTTAATACTACGGATGGTCAATCGTGCATTGATTTATTAAAGTTATCAGTTAAAAATAAAAATTAACGCTAACACGTTTGCGTTACTGAAAGTTTCCTTTGTAGATTTAACGATGCACTTTTCGAATTGAAATCTTCATATTTTCGATTAACTTTTCTGTAGAGAAAAAAAGTAAACTTGGCTAATTTTTTGGCCATCTATCTTTTTTGAATGAATATACCATTCATTGAATGATTCTCACTTTCATTCATATTTTTTAAAGTGTAACTTGTGCGTAATTATAATTTAGTACAATCATATTTGTACAAGAAGCTTCTACTTTTTTTTTCTTTGATTCTGAGGAAACAGACACGTTTTTTACTCGCTGTCTCTCTGAGCTCTGTACAGTTACACGTGTCGAATTTCTCTCTCCCAGCCCTGACTTTTTAACTTTTATTTCATCAATCTGGGTCAAGTTTGAGGTAATTTAATCTACACAAACCTAAATTGTTTCAAACGAAACAAAAACAATAGAATAGATGTTTCTTTTAATTTTACCGCGGACTCAGATAACCTGCTTTTTTTCTTTTAGTCAAAGAAACTTTTTTGTCATTTATTTTACTTACTGTATTTATTAAAATAAAAACAAAACAACGAAAACGATGTTATATTGTTTTCTTTCATGCCATGATTAACAATAGTACTGCTTACCATAAATGGAGTTTCGTTTACGTTACATTTTTTGTGTAGTCCTTCAGTTTGCCTTTTTTCTTTGAGTCTATGCTGAAAGAAGATTCTCTAATTTTTATTTATCTGAAAATTACCATCTGATGCTTAGTTTCAAAATTTAAGAATTCCCTTTGCTGAAGCATTCATTAAATTTTATTTATAGATCCTTCCTGAGTCCTTACACTTGAAAAATACACCTTTTAAATTTAAACTTAAACAAATGCACCCAAGCCAATTGGCTAAGAAATCTCTTGAGTTATTTAAAAAAAAAAACCCAAAAAGCTGGTAAACGCAACAATAGATTATTTTTGGGAGACTATTTTAAGACGAAATCAAAGACATTTGTGAAACAGTTAAAAAAACAGTAGCTGAAGAAATAATATTTTTTTTTTTTTACGCTTTTACCTTCTATCGTATCTTATTGAATAATTTTTATTTAAATTCTTTGGTAACTATATTAATTTTAAAAATTCTGAGGAATTTTTTAAATTAATCACAAATTGAGTTAGTTTTTTATTTGTTTTTTTTTTTTTTTGAAAAAGTAATAAAATAACTGCATCTTTTTTTATTTGCTGTGTATGATTAAAAAAATTTTCAACTTTTTTAAAAGATTTTGGAATGTAATTAAGATTATTCATCATTGGTTTGTTTTTCGTCTTCCTTCTCGCCGTTCTTTTCTAGCGAATTTTTAATTCATTTTTAACAATAAAAAAAAATCATACTACCCCTCATCGATTAGCTGCACAGTCGCACGTTGACCCTCTGACTTTTTGGACATTTATTAATTTTTTAGATTTTTTTTGAATAAAACAAAAAATAATTAAAAAAAGTCAATTATTTTAGTTTTCGGAGTTTAACACGCTTTCCTACTCTTTTTTTTTTTTTTTTTTTTCCCTCAAATAATCGAACTTCAACATACATAAATCAACAGTTTGTAAAATTTAGTTTATGGAGATAAAAGTAGTAGAAAGACTGTGTTGCGCCTAAGTGGGGAGGACTTGTCTGTCTTCAACAATACAATAAGCATTCGAAATATTTGTTAGTACTAGTAGGAATATTTGGATTTTTCAGTTTCACTTTAGGTTAGGTGAAAGGCTTGTAGTCAGGTGTTACCTTGCATTGCATATCTTGTTACACTGAGTCGGGGTAACGAAAATACCCTCGTATCCATAAACTGACATGGATACAAGAAGAACAAGATTAATTTTTTTTTACTAACTACGACTTGTAAGTAAATTCATGTTCTCTAAATGGTTGAATATGCAATAAAAAAAAAATAATGTTTGCAATACATTCGTTAAAAACTGTATTAGGGGAAGTTTTATTTTTGCCGATATGAAACAAATTATGCCTTTTTCTTTTTTAGATTAAGCCAGCATGGTTGTTACAGCCTTTCGTTTAAGGCCGTTGTACCCTCTGGTATCTCGACTAAGATAAAGCATGCTGACCCCAATAGCAAAGCATAATAATTCTTCATCTCAGATTCCGAAAGATAGCGTAAAAAGCTTGCAAAGGGCTAAATAAATACACTACCCCTAGTTTTCTTTGGTTATGGGGACAGATATGATTTTGGTATGAATGCAATTTGTTTTACTTTCTGTCTCCTCTGTGTTTTCACGTTTCAACCGCAATGTA